CTTTGTTAGGTGGGTAGGTAGTGCGTGTGTGCTCATGAAAAAAAAGCAAACAGTTGCACGCATTGAGCATTGATTTGCTTACTTAAGCAACAGCTCAAGTTCAAGCCCTACGAGAAACCACTTTTCTGCTACTTTTGAGCACCTGCCTGCCTGGCGGCCATTCTTGCCACCTTGCTGCGACGAACAGTGTCTTGTGTTGTGGCTGACATGTATGTAAAGTTATGTCTCGAACATGTACTGTGATACATATGTATGTATTGTCCAGAAGGTGACCGAGAAAGCTAACATGGTATATAATGTGCTGTTTGTAAGCTTTAAGGTATGGCTACAACAGTTTTGTAGAAGCTGTCATTGCCAAAACCCGAGCTCGATACCGAGATATCGACCAATATCATAAAAGTTAATTCTAATTGTGATAATCCTTAAGCAGCTAATACAAGAATACTTTGATCGCCTTACATACGGATATTTCTGTAAGCTCAGAGCAGAAAGATCTAAAGAAGTGATTGAAGCAAAGCTGGAACAGCTGTGGTTAAGGTTAGGTTATGAGGTCGATCGTAGGTGTGTTCTGAACTGGACAGCTTAGAACACCGGTCTGTTGTGATACCTAAAACGCTGCTATAGTGGATCATTACCATGTGACCGAAAACGCCTCTACAATCGGTCATTAGACCCCTACATATCGACAAATCGCTTTGAGCATATCAAAAATTTGTTTAGACCGTCATTGTCAATGTAGGTTATGTCACCTGGTTCACCGAGGGTAAGACTGTAGAGATGTTTCAACTTCAGTCTTGCAAATTCTGGGCAATGGAGAATATATGGATTCTCCATACAACTTTGACAACTGACCTTCGCTAAGATTGACATGAACTTGAAGTGGACTTGACAATCTCGTAATGTGGTTTAGATCACCGCAAAAGTATAAGTAATATAAACACGTTAAAGAGAGTTTAACGAATTCTCATATAAAGTTCCCTCTCTACTGTATCCTAAGAAACTGAGTCATTCAGATCTAGTTTTCTGAACCAATCAAATCAAGACTTATCTTCATGAAAGCAATATGGTTCTGGAACCTCAATTCAACTTTCACAATTGGCCTTCGACAAGAATGACAAGAACTTGAAGTTTACTGGACAATCTCGAAAAGAGCTGTATATCTTCCTTAGAAACAGAATAAGAAATAAGAGAATTAAAGAGAGTTTTCAGAGGAAATATATACAGTTAATTAACTCTATACAGTACACTCAAAATCTTGAGTGTGAATCAGCTTTACAAGATTTCTGAATCAACGAGGGAAACAGGAGAAAGTTCTCAATACCTTAGTATGTAAGTAAGTAAGTACCGGGATCTAGGTCGGGATCTAGTGTTTATGCAACAGTAGAATATACCGACTGGAAGATTGAGCAGTAAGAAAGCGATGCAAACTGATTTGAAATCGAATAGTAAGAAGGCGGTACAAAGGTAAACTTTTTAGAGCTTTCTTCATCTTAGTCTGCATATAGCGCAAGTAATGGCATGATTTAGATGACGTAATGGATTTATCGAAGAATTTTCGATAACCGAGAGAGATGATAGATTCTACAAACAGTGCCCACTAGTTTTAAAAGAGACTTCCTGGCTCCCGAAGCGGCGTGTAACACAAACGGTGGAACGATTTAGCTAACTCAAAGGATTTTTTGAAGATTTTTGAACAGTGTTTTGAGGAAGTTGGCACACTGAAAGCACACTGGTTATAAAAAAAAAAAAGACTTTGCGATGTGGAGGTCTCAGAAATTAAAGACATTGAGTAGAGCTAAGCATTTAGACTGAAAATTTCAAGTTGCCGCACCACTGTGCGTGCCATCACCTACTATCTGTCATTGTCGATCTGCATTCCTGCCGCCATAAGTTAGTGTCCAAGCCTCTTCATTACAACTTTGCAACATTTTTTCGACATTTAATTAAATGCATGTCCGCTGGCACAGCTGTGCCCGCAACAACAACATGCTGCCCAATGGAGAAACAACAGCAATGCCAATCCGTCGATGATGGGGTGGATGAGAGATCAACCGTTGGCGATATTCGTAATTACAACGTGCAACAAGCGCTAATTTGGGTGATGCAACAAAGCTGCTTTGCAAAAGAGTACAAAAACAGCAAAGCAGAAATGATAAGAGAATATAAGTATATAGCAAAGTGAAATAAAATGAAAGAAGATGATTAAAAGCCAGTTTTGGCTTGGCAGAAAAATATGCAAAGTTTCTAGTTCGTTTGTGGACTATTGAGGACTCCACTGAAATTGAAAAAATAAATATTTCGGTGAACAACTTTGGATGAAACTTGCAATAATTTATACAGCATGTGGCGTTAACTTGAAAAATTCGAGCGTGCCTAATTGCAGTCAAACAGTAAACTCAGTTGAGTGAATTTCATATGCAAGTCAGCGGTTGCGGTCACGACACTTTGTCTTTACAGAAACAATAGCGGCGTGGCATGCAGCAGCGGCCGTTGCATTGCTGCAACTTAATCAATGTGTAAATGCGTTTTTATGCCACTAAAAGTGGCAGAGTTGCATGCATCACCAGTCGTGCCAGCTTGTAAACGCACAACTTAGTTACTCGCGGCACTCGCTCGTTGCCACTTAATTCATCATCATTGTGCGTGTTGACATTTCGTACGTGTTTCCCATTTTAATTATGATTCCACACGAAAAGACCACAGTGTTGTTGGCGGCAAGATGCGTTGCCACAGCGTGTTTGTTTACCTGTGTTCGGGCACCAATTTTCTGCTGCGTTCTATGGCAACGCCAACTCGAGTGCTCATTTCACACGCTACCAGACTTTTTAGTTTCCCATGGGACACTCTCCGCTTATGCCACAAATCGGTGTTAGTGGTGGTTTGGCACTGTTTACTTTCTTAATTTGGTCACAAGTCATGATGTCACAAGTGATAAGTGACACCTGTTTTAAATTGTTCTGACAAGGTTAATAAATTCTTCAATGACAAGGGCTTATTTCAGAGCTCAAAGTTGTATACTAATGCGTCGAGGAGTGAATGAATGGCAAGAAAAGTGCTAAGATTGGGATAACGGGAAACGATTGGGAGACTGCTATTTCGGCCACTTAAAAAGTATAGTCTTCAGCTAAATAACTGTCTGAATCTGTGGCTATTAACTATTAAACGAAACCGCAAAGTAGTCTGTCTTATCACTATACGAAAAACTCCTATACGAGTAGTTGCAGATCAGGTAAAGCAGCCGTGAACCTAACAACCTGCTAGATGTATTATTTACGCTATTTCACCTGGCTGCCTAAAAGTATGAGATATGAGAAAGTGTGAAGATGGCTGTAACTGTTCTTCTTTCAAGCAACTGATGTAGCTGTTATTACCAGATATTCAGTCTTACTTCATGAATCTCTGGCGGATAGTATCCACTTACAACTCTTACAACCATTGAAAGGTTGGCCTTGCTGAAAGCGAAGAGTTCCGTTGGTCTCTTATGATTTTCTCCGGGCCAAACAGACGTTGAGACTATATAAATGCTAGTAGTCGATCTCGGAAAATTGAGTGTAAAGAACAAAATTCGAAAAAAATATATTATGAAACAAGAGCTGAGAGCACATTAAGTTTTTAGAGCACAAGTCTTTTTAAAGGTTATTCTAGTTACAGGCGATTATTCTAGCAATCAATACTAAGATGGTTAAAAAAAAATATATTCTTGTTCCGTAAAACTTAAATTTTGAGCTTTTCCAGACTTTTTATATATAGTTTCCGAGCTTTTCGAGGGTAGTTGACAATAGAGCCTATGGCTCTATGTGATCTAAATTACATTAAAGCTTAATTCACTGAAAAACTTCTACTTTTTAAGAACTCCAACTACTGCATATTCAAAAGGTACGAAACAAAAATATATATACGCAGAATGCCAATAACAATTTTTATTCACGAATTTAAAAAGATATTACAATTTTTCATTTAAAAGTGGTATTTAGATTAAATTTATAACACTTTGTATTAATTCAGAGCTTTCTAAAGCTCAAAACACATAAATGTTAACGATTAAAACATAAAACTTTCAAACTTTTCTGTTAAAAAAGACATCAGAATTACGTATTATCGTTGTTATAGAGAATATTTTCTTCACAAATTACCTATTTATTTAAGAAGCTTTCTGAAGCTTTTGTTGTAATACTAATTACAGCTTTTTAATAATTGTGCTTATAGTTTTTGCTAAATATTACTGTTTCGCAATTATTATATATAAGGATTTTTTTAGAATAACAAGTACACTATATTTTTGAAAAGCTTTCAAAAGCTCTTTTACAAATTTTCTGTGTGTTTTAATAATATGTACTTGGCATCAACAATTTGATAAGTGCCGCATCGATATACGTACCTATATATTAACAAAAGAATGTGTTTCCAAAGCTTTCTAAAGCTTTTGCTACAATACTAATTGCAGTTTTTTGGAATTTATTTAGTTTCCAAGTACACTATTTTGTACTAGGAATATAAACGTCAATTCTTTATTTAAATTATTTTAGAAATTAATACTTTTTTAGTTTCAAAAAGCTTTCTAAAGCTTTTTTTTTACAAATTTGTGGTTCATAATATCATGTAATTAGTATCAAAAGTATGATTGTCAAGAAGCGACATACATATGTATGTATATCTCTAAAGCAAACATGCTTCCAAAGTTTACTAAAGCTTTTTAGATTTTTTGAATTTGGTTAATTTTCAAGTAGTTTGACTTAAAAATTTTACAACGGTCAGGAATATAAACGTTACCACCTTGGTTGAATTATTTTAGATTATTTTTTTATTTCAAAAAGCTTTCTCAAGCTCTTTCCCAAAATTCAAATTTTCAAAAAGCTTTCTAAAGCTCTTTCACAAAATTCAAATTTTCTAATAAAATGCATTTGGTATCAAAGGAGCTTATATAGTATGTTCAAATAAAATATATTTTTTACACAGCGCACTCTGAAGGTTGCGAAGCTCTAGTTGCAGTAATTTTGGAGCTTTTTGTATTTTCTGAGTTTTTCAAGTAGTTTGCTTATAAAACTTTTAAAATGTGTAGGAATATAAACGTTAACTAAGGAGTTGTTAATGAACTATACAATTTATTGATGTAGTTTTCATCAATTACCGGCAATTCATCCGTAAGTACTTAAACCATTGGCAGTTGAACTGGAAGCCCAATTTTTGCTAAATGGTTGTTTCGTTCTTCGGCAAGGATATATTAATTGTCGCCAATTAACGCAGAAATTATCGATAAATCATCCGAAACGTGCTCGAAAGCAAGATGCAGAGAAAAATATTTTGTAATTGAGAAGATTCAGTAAATGTAAAATGTTGGCAAAATAAATCAGAATCATGCACACACTTCGTGGCAGTAAAGAATTTCGAGGATTGTCAGCAGTTTTTTAACTTTCATAGATTGTTTGTAAGCGCAAACTCTCGATGCTTTAGACAAATTTAAATACTTTTTGAGAGGAAGAATAAATAAAAGGTATTTAAAACGTCATGAGGACCGAAGTTCAAAAAACAAGAAATAACATGCGCTTAACTGTTATTTCGACTTTGTAGCAATTAAAATTTTGAGGATAATTTTTTTTGTTTTTTTTTTTTTTTTTTGTTTTTGAGTTTAACTCTGGCTGCTGTGCGATGTTGGCAGATTTATTTGAACCATGCAGGATTTGCAGAAGTGTCGCGCCTTGTGCTTGGTAAAAATGTAGATCGCTGGAATTTCTGTAAGGAGAAGTAATATTAAAAGTTAATATGTATAAAATCATAAAATGAAATAAAGCCATATAAATAATGTTTCCACAGAGCTTTCATATTTAAGAAGTTTTTATATAAAAGAAGCTTTCACAAAAGAACTTGAAAATTTCAAACAAGCATATGATTTATAGAGCAAATAAAAAGCAACCACTTATTTTCTTTCACTTAAGCTCACATGAAAAAATTGTGTGGTCTAGTAAAAGTATAATGGATTAATAATGTGAACTAAGTTTCGCGTGAAGAGATCTTCTGCATCATGTGAAAAATGAATAAATTAATCGAAATTTAGCTTTATATGTAACCCCTTTCGTTAACGTGCTGTTAAATCTTCTTTCTTGGCGTAGACTCCATGTGTGAAAGTTCGTTTGAGGAAACTTCTCCAAGCGCCATTCACTTGGAAGTGGTCAGAAACGATTATTTTACACACGGTTTAAACATCTCACGACTTTCGGTCTTAGACCATATAACCTCTGGGTAACCAAGAAACATCCGTTTGATGGTGAGAAGTCGGAATCTCTCTTAACGAAAAGGACATAACAGCGTCGTATGCGAGAGCCCTCTTTTGATGACGACCTATTAATAGTAGAATCAAATTGACTCTGAATTGCAAGGTCAAATCGGGACTGCATTTTGATTCATATACACTGAAGTGGATGGATTTTTTTTTTTGTATAACATTGCGAAGGCAGTAAATTATTCTGAACAATTTTCGCCCAAGGGATTATGGTTCTAAAACAGGCCCACCTGACCAATTCCGAAGTATTAAATTTCATTCGGATAATTCAAAACCTTACGATCAAAATTTTATGATCCATGAAAGCTTAGGTAAAGTACAAAATATTGTCGAAATAATATTATGAGGCTTTCCTGAAATTTAGCACCTAGGAATCGACTAAACTTCCACTTAAATGGAACTGCTGACCAAACTTGAAACTATCTTTATAGCTTAGGGTCTATGGCTAACCCACAAGATGGAAAATTATTATCTCACCTACCGACAGATGGTCTTGAACACATTATCTACTTTGGTGTTTCATTTTTATCCCTACCACTTGGCACGGTTATCTGAAGATGTTTTAGTTTGGATCGAAGCAAAGGCTGAGCTAAGAGGAAATATTGATATTTATAACATAACAATATTGATACCGTTGTGAAATAACATATAGTTCTAGTATCCATAGGTAAGGAAATTGTGAGGTTTGATGCCAAATATAAAAAAAAATTTTGGAAATAACTTCTGGGTATGATTTGAAACTTTTTGTTGACAAATTTGGTACCCAAGTACCTCTCGCATAGTTATATTAGTTTATGTTGAACGGTCGATCCTAACAGAGTTCCCAGTTGAACAGCTTTGAACCGGCATATTGCGATCCCTTGAACTCCTATTAAGTGCACTTTGAGGCAACCACAAATTTGTTGAGTCGGCTACTGCTAGTTTCGACTATATATATACCGGATAACGGAAGATAAGACTACCGAGGTGTTTCAACTGTAGTCTTGCAAAGACTGAGTAATGGCGGTGATAGTGCCTAGACGTTTATATCTTTAGACTATTCCAACTTTGACAGTTTGCTTTTGACTGGATGTGTAGCCTCATAGAATGAATGCTTATTATACAGAGTCAAGTAAGAACACATACGATTTTCCGACTCAATGTGTAGCCTTACAAAATGAAAACATATTGAACAGAGTACAGTTCGAACTCCTACAATTTCGGTAAGATGAATTTTGTCAAAAGTAAGTTCCGTAGATTCTGCTCCAAGCCAGAAGAATCTCATAGTCGCGCAGAGACTGGCCGTCGACCAGCGAATGCAAAGCGCACATGAAGACCATAGGTCCAGTGCTAAAACGCAAGATGACAACTGGGGTCTAACCCGCCGCCGCTCCGATTTAAGCAGTGTAAGTGTAACCATGTATGCAATTTTCAACGAAAGTGTTCATGCACCGAAAGCGAACAAAGATCACTTATCTGATAATGACAACTTGATGCTATGCAAATACCTAGACCTGAGACAACTTTGAGCGCACAGTTTGCGAGCTCAACGATAGTTTTACTGCTCTGTTGTCGGAGTCAACGCTAACCGCTCTGAAAGCAGCTGCACTTTGGAACTAGTTATATGAACATCGCACTTTTTATATACCTATCACGTATAAGGTATTGGTGAACCTTAACAATGAATAACCTATCTTTTATATAACTACTTTTTAAGCTTTTGTGTTTCTTATAACCTTTCTTAACCTTTCTACTTCTGTTCATACTACGACAAAGTGAATAATTTAACTGCTCTCTATATTTTTCTTTAAAATTTACTCACCACAAATGCAGAAAGATTACATTTTGTCAAACAAAATCCACTTAGTCTTCTAGAACCGAAGCTCACAGTGGCCACGCACGTCCTACAACACCGAACCACTAAGTCAAACTGAATAATTCAAAACTTAAATTTTAATCAAATCATTTTCACGCACGGTAATTTAATATTACACAAAGTTCTATATGGTGTGGGTAATAGATAAAGTCTCCATTCAATATATGACTCTCCAAATATGGCACAAAGCAGTTATTTGTGATAAATAAATATGTCATAAAGCAAGCAGAAGAGTGAGCTAGCAAGTGAGCGGCGATAAGCAAGCAAATAAACAAATTTACTATGGACCTAATCTTATCAGAACCTCGAAGAAAACGTATAATGGTAAGTAAATAGAAGTCATAAATGAAGCGTGGATAGTTATGAATACGCGTCGCCATGGAAGAGAGTACAGTGCAACGACATATGTGTATGTATGAAGGACCGTACAGTATGTATACCCATAACCAGCTTATCAGTATTTTCTCAATTACATTTCAAGGGTTACACAAACAGTCGTTACTTAAATAGCGACCCAAGTTACTTTGTACTTTATTCTAGCAAGTGCCTGTTTGAATTTTGAAACTAAGATAAGGCGTAGAGTTATAAAAATTGTATTATATATATATGCCATAAATATTCGTGTATTTGCGCATAAGAAGAATAGTTTTTATTATGTTAAAAGATCGGCGGATAGACCTCGAGGACGGTAGCATTACATGAGGTTTCTAAAGCAAAACTTTATTGAGTGAGTTAAATCTAGGCAATCTCTTTCTCGCCTACACTCATAGACATCTCAAAACTCATTCAGCCCCACCCATGTTCATAAATCCTACGCAAAATCTTCTACGGCAACCATTAATGAGGTTTTTGTTTTTATAATCTTCCTCTTTCTCCATCTGCTCCTCACTCTGACTCTCTTTCCCACTCTTCTATTCTATTTTTTTCCTCCCCCCCATTTGAATTCTCCATATTAACCAACCAATTTTTGGAAAGGAAGGTTTCAACGTGAAGTTATCTGTTCTCAGTAGCGTTCCCCTAATAAATTTACTGATTAACGCGATTTGGGAGAAGTGACGTCTTCTCGTTGAAACCTAATGTCGCCGATACCATGAGCTTAAATTTCAGACATCAAATAGTCGGTTATAACGGCGCGATAACGGTCGCCTTTGATGGTTGCGTTCTCACCGACATAATTTTTGAACAAATATGGACCGATGATTCCACGGACCCACAAACCACACCAAATGGCAGCTCTTGAATCTCTGCAGGTTACTCTTCGTCAATTTCGCTTTTTTACATACCGATTGAGCCAGAAATGGGAATCATCACTGGTCAAAATTTGGCTCGAAATCGTCGGTTTTTCGTGAAACTTTTCAAGAGTCCATAAAGCGAAGCGATGTCGCTTGGGAAGGTTAAAACCTAACACTGTTTTTCTGCTAGTGGGAATGTCTCAATTCCCAATTTCGGGCTAATTTAGTTTGGCAAAGAATCATGAGCAATAGTTCTGGAAACAATCGTTGCTTTAAGATTGTTCACAAAACTCGCGATATAGATTCTATTCTTCCAAGCTTACCTGCAGTGTAGATGGATCGGTATACAGAATTTGTCAGCTTCTCAGTTGTCATGTTGAAATAAATCCGGTGAGTTGCTATCTTTTACCACTTCTTTGCTATGTTCTAATCACGGCATTGACACTTCCAACTTCAAAATCTGGTCTAATTCAATCCCTTTCCATTGAGGGTTCGAGTTCATCCCATTCTCTAACTGTCAGTCAGCTTTCCTCTACTTTCTATTCGTTTAGTTTAGAAACTACTGTAAAAACCTTATCATTTCTCGACAAAACTGTTGGGCTGATTGACGATTAAATGGCAACTTCTTTTTTTTTATGTAAAAAGTAAAAAATTTTGGTGAGCTTGACTTTATTTTGCCCGAAAGGAGAGACAAAAAGTTTGAGTTCTCTCGAGCGAGTGTTAAACAATATCTTTCAAGGAGGAACGTAATGCAAAAATAAACAGGAAACTTTGTAAAAATTATTATATCTTTCGGACTCCAGTGGGAGCTTTCACATCGTGAACCTAGAATTCCATCTGTACAGAATTTTTTAATTCACTGTAAAAAATGTTCGATATCCAATTAAGCCTCATTGCAATCAGCTTCGTCTTATCGCCAACAAATCTTACAAAAAGCAATAATTTGCTAAATTTCTCAATATTCCCTTTCACACCCTTTCTCTTCCACTCCGATTATCGACAAATCCTCGCAGCCTGCCGCCTACACGCAGATTACGAAGTTAAAATCAGTAAATTCAGAATAAACTAGGCGAATATCAGCTGGCATAATGGCAATACAACATCAAGTAATGACAACAACAATAATAAAAGCAGCAACAACAATAATCAAAACAACAACAACAATAACTAAAGCAACAACAACACTATAGATTAGCATCATAAAAACAAGCGAAATGAAATACGAAAATCGATTCGTTGGCACAGCATACTGTGCCGAATGCAATGAAGAAATTCAATACTGTAAAATTGGCGAAAACAATTGAATTGATTCGGGAGCTGCATGAAAACAAAACAACAACAGCAGCAACAACAAGGCCGGCAATGTCGGCGCAAGCACTGCAATAATAATGGGAACAGCAGCTTTAACAGCAGGCAGCATCTTTGATAGCATAAACAAACATGTAAGGAAGGACTAAGTTCGGGTGTCACCGAACATTTTATACTCTCGCATGATAAAGTGATAATCGAAATTTCAGGCGTGGTTGTGAACTCTACTCGTCACCCTGATCACTTTGGTATATATAATCCTATATCTGACTCTTTTAGTTTTAGGACTTACAAACAACCGTTATGTGAACAAAACAATAATACTCTCTTTAGCAACTTTGTTGCGAGAGTTTAAAAATGAGTATGGTGAGTAAGGTCGTTGATATTCGCACGGAACCAACAATTTCAGTCATATTTCAAATCGATTCTCGATCTCTCGGTCTCTTTTTAACAACCATAATTATTATACTAATCTAAACTGTATGGATATATGGTGGGAATTTATCCGAACTCTTCGAAAGAATTTTTTAACGGGAAGTTCATATTTCTATGATTCCGGTGCGTTAACTTTTGGTAACTCTGTATATATGTACAAGATACATCAAGGTATATATAAGGTACGTAGCTTTTCGATGAAAAGTCATATGAATGAACTATAAGTTCCACATGGAACCTCGAGGCATTAAAACTCCTGGTACGATCGCGGTTTCTTTAAGTTTTCGGAACGCGTGTACTTCTAGTTATGTTGAAAACTTGATAGTAGCATATTTAAAGCCAGCCTCCAGTGAGTTTGTTTTGACATTGTCTAAATAGAGCCGGAGTTTTAGTCATGAGAGACTGCAGAACAGTCACCATACGAAAAAAAATTAATTTTAATGTAAGAATTTTGTGGATAGACTATATGATAGAATCAGATTTCGTTGACATCGAGTTTTTGCTATAGCAAGGGGTTTGGTCTGGAGGTAGAAATAATCTATTGTTATATCTTACGATTGAGACATATGCAGAAGGTAATGCGAGTAAGGAAAGTTCTCTGACTGCCATCACTTGGGAGTGGTCAAGAACGATTCTTTTATATATGGCTCAAACAGATCACGACTTCTGGTCTTAGACCAAATATTCTCTGGGTAGCCAAAAACCACCCTTTAAAGGCGAGCTAAAGTGAAAAGGTTTGAAACCCGCCACGTAAACTCGGCTCCACTCAATATTTTCAAGGTAAACCTCAAGATGCAGCGGCTATTTTCTGAAAAAAAATAATTTTTAGCCTATATTGCCGTCCTATAATAATAGGTCTGTTGAGCTGAGAATATTGTACTATGAGAAATATTGAGTTTCAAGTATTGTGATAACTCCAAGTACACACGAAAACAAGAGTTGCAGGTCAGGAAAAAAGCAAGGTAAATATTCTCGAAGTAAATATTAGTTAGAACGTTTGGAATGAATTAAAAATTGGAGAGAAGTGAAAGACCCAATTCTTTCAACAAAATTTTTTGATTTTACATTCAAAAGACTGGTTATATTACCGCAATATATACCTGGATCATAGAAAATGAGACATGAGAAGAAATTACATGGATCCAGCACTGGATAGACAAAGGATCATTATTTTAGATTAATTAGAATCGGAGTTTTGTTGGAATTTTCAGAAAAAATTTAATCACTGTTTCCTTCAAACGTTTACGCTTTAATCCAACTTTACTTCAAGATATCTGTCGAACTCTATAGGAAGGAGAGAAAGGCAGCTTCGCAAATTCTTTTACGATTTTCTTGAAATCGGTTTGAAATGACATATAGATGAACCAAATTAAAAATAATATTTCCCAACCAGTTATTAGCCGGGTATAACCACAACCTGCCAATAAGTAGAACAAGCGTAGGAGTAGAAGGTGCAGTAACAGCAGCAAGTTAGGAGCAGCGACCGATCCGTAATGGTAATAAAGAATCAAAATAGAAGGAGCACCATACTCCAACAACAAAATCAACAAGAACAGTGACAGTCATGCGCTGTAATCGAATGGAAGTCGCAATGAAAACTCAGCGGCGCGCCAAGGAGTCGCCGAAATTGAAGGCTCAATGGGATATGACTGCCTCCACACGCAGAGGAAGTATGGCAAGCCGCTGAGGGAAAACGGAATGACCAAAATTGTCTGCCTGATCGGTTGCATAGGAACCCCACTGGTGAAGATGCATTATAGGCGCGAGCGCGCGCATTCTTCTTAACAAAATAGAATAAGAATGAGAAAAAGTTTGCAATAAAAAGCGAAAAATTGCATCTCATCGATGGCAGACAATTGCAACAGAATAATGCTGCTGGTAGCAGAAATGGGAGCACAACTAAAATGTAATAACAACACCAATGGTATACATACACATTAATATAAAATCACAATTGAAATTCATTTCAGCGCATGCGTACACTTGTAGATACAATTTTCATTGTTATTTTTTTGTTGGTATTCCATTATATGCAGTCGTGAAATACGCAAAATTGCAGACGAACTATTTTTTA